CCGAAGTTTCAATTTTTTCTCTCTAAAGGCGCTACTACCTCTGACATTGTTAACCTTGTTAGTAAGTCTCCCGTGCTCCTCTCTCCAAGCCTCGAGAATCATATAGTCCCAACCTATGAATTTTTTAGTAGATTCTTGCAATCTCACAAGGGCATTGTTGCTCATGCAATTCAAAATCCAGTTTTATTTAGTCACCGTATTGTGTTGCATAACGTTAGAATGTTGGTTGAGAATGGAGTTCCAGACTCCAGCATTTCTAGATTGCTTCAAGCGAATAGCATGGTACTCAACACAAATGGCCTTCTAAACCTGGTCCAGGAATTAAAGGATTTGGGGTTTAATCCTTCACAATCAATTTTCTCAATAGCATTGCATGCCAAAAGAACGGTAATGAAAGCCAGGTGGAAAGAGAAAGTTGAAGCCTTTAAGAAATGGGGTTGGTCGGATGAAGATGTTCTAGAAGCATTTCGAAAGCAGCCTCATTGTATGTTAACATCCGTTGATAAAATAAATATAGTGATGAACTTTTGGGTCAATCAGTTGGGTTGGGATGCTATGGCCATTGCCAAAGTACCAAGAATTTTGGGGGCCAGTATGGAGAGAAAGGTCATACCAAGGGCCTTAGTTGTGCAATATCTTCTGAAGAAAGGTTTGCAAAAAAAGAATGCAAGTTTAACTTCTCCATTTCTAATCAGCGATAAGAAGTTCATTGACAAATATATAAATCCTTTTAAGGAGGAGGCTTCTTATCTCTTAAAGCTTTATGAAGAAAAACTAAGTCTTGCACACGACAAGGACAACAAAGATGTCATGATATGAACAAATTTACAGGTATTTTTGTCTTAATTTGCTATCCTGTTGCTTATTAGATTTGAATACTTGATTAGAGTCAGTTTGATCTAGTTTAGTTAACTTGTTTCATTTCCTACTTGCACAAGTGTTGATCTTGTTTTTATTTGAATACATGAATACTTTTTTGTGATAGTGTCGATTCTCTCTCCATGTTTGTTTAGTCTAATAATCTATTGCATACATTCAAATATACTAGAATAGGTTGCAGGATTCAAAATGGTTTCAAGCAGGGGTTCCAATTGTGATAACTTTGCAAATAATTGTCGACAAATACAGTCGTAATTATGTTAGCTGTGTAATTCTCAAGGGCTACTAAACCTCAGTTTTAACTTAAGGCTACATTACAACTGGTGGTTGTGAACTGCAGTTATTCAAAACATTTTGCAGTTAGATTTATGACATAGTCTATCTCTATGTTGGTGTTGTGTCTGGTGTCTGGATCAATGTCTCATATGTTTTTATTTTATTCCATGTTCTATTTAATATTTTTTTGAGATTAATATACCACTGAATTGTATTAACCAATGAAAATAACCTTCAATGATGATCCGGTTCCTCCACCATTTTCTTCTAGCATATTGATATTTAAACTTTCCTTCATTTTTACTTGTATTAGTACAGTAAATTATTTTTAAAAAAAAAACACTTATATGCCATAACTTTGCTGAACATATCTTCATGACTGATTTCTGGATGTATTGTGCAGCTTGGGGTCCAAACATCATGATATAGAGGGTCTTTCTCTTCGATCAACACATTATTAAAAACAAACCGTGATATAAGAAGAACACACTGAGGGAAGGACCAACTTAAATCATCACTGAAGTGAAAAGAAGGAACTTAATCCATCACGGATATCGGACAGTAGATTAATGGATATCTCCGAAAAATAAATGGATATTTAAATATCCGTTTGTTAATGAATATTATACAGATTTAATGATATTTGTACCTGCGGATATTATATTCTTTAATAAATTATAAAAATCATTTAAATGTTATTAGTTTATTATACTTATCTTTTAATCTTCTAAAAAAATTAGTCTTCTAATATTTCTTTCTTTTTTTTTGAAATTTTTTTTGAAGAAAACTTTTCACATTTCATTCAAATTTTATTATCTATTTCATATTTAAACTCTTTAATAATTTATAGTTTACTTCAACAATTTCACAGTTCAACCAATTAATTGTCATTATTCCTCTGTTGAACCAACTAGTGTCGTTATTCCTCTGTCGAACCAACAAGTGTCGTTATTCTTTTGTCCAACTAATGTCTCCTCTGTGTGTGTGTGTGTTGTGTTGTGTGTGTGTGTGCGTGCGGTTAATAATTTTGTAGTTTATGCCTATGTGTGGTTAATAATTTTGTAGTTTATGCCTATGTAACATCAATAATGTGTGTGTGTGTGTGTGTGTGTGTGTGTGGGGGGGGGGGGGGGGGGGGGGGGGGGGGTTTAATAATTTTGTAGTTTATGCCTATGTAACATCAATAGTGTGTGTGTGTGTGTATGTGTGTGTGTGTTTGGGGTTAATAATTTTGTAGTTTATGCCTATGTAACATCAATAATGTGTGTGTGTGTGTGTGTGGGGGGGGGGGGGGGGGGGGGGGGGGGGGTTTAATAATTTTGTAGTTTATGCTTATGTAACATCAATAGTGTGTGTGTGTGTGTGTGTGTGTGTGGTTAATAATTTTGTAGTTTATGCCTATGTAACATCAATAATGTGTGTGTGTGTGTGTGTGTGTGTGTGTGGGGGGGGGGGGGGAGTTAATAATTTTGTAGTTTATGCCTATGTAACATCAATTGTGTGTGTGTGTGTGTGGTTAATAATTTTATAGTTTATGCCTATGTAACATCAATAGTGTGTGTGTGTGTGTGTGGGGGGGGGGGGGGGGGGGGTTAAGAATTGTAGTTTATGCCTATGTAACATCAATAATGTGTGTGTGTGTGTGTGGGGGGGGGGGGGGGTTAAGAATTTTGTAGTTTATGCCTATGTAACATCAATAATATGTGTGTGCGTGCGTGGGCGTGTGTGTGTGTGTGCGTGCGTGCGTGCGTGGGCGTGTGGGCGGGGTTAAGAATTTTGTAGTTTATGCCTATGTAACATCAATAATATCGGACTCAAGTCTCACTCAGGCAATTTTTGAGAATTTCTTAATGCATCCTACATGGTATGTACGCACTACCCGAAAATATTAAAACGTCCTTCAGATATTAATTAGGTTTGTTTAATATATACACAACGTATACCATTTTGAGTGACGACCTATTAGTTAGGTTTGTTTAATACAAGACATGCATCTTCGGAATATATACATAGATGCATTTATGTAACGTATTCAGCAGCTAGTAACAAAGTGTCGCATCGTTGCGAAGAGGGGCTGGCAAGGACAGAAGAGTCGCCACCGTTCGTTATTTATCCCAAAAGAGAGGGAAAGGAAATGATCATAGAAAACCTAACGAAAAGGGAATAAGACAGGTCATCGCAATCAAATCTTGGGTTCGGGAGTCGGTTACGCAAGGGGAAGTATTAGCACCCCTCACGTCCGTCATACTCGACGGGATCCACGCTTGCTTGACTAGTCTATGGGTGAAAAACAAACTATCTACGGTTGTTAATGCTAAACGGAAAGAACTGAAAAAGAACGGAAATGACTGATTCGATAGGACATCACCGCCCTATGCCTACGTATTCCCTCATGCAATGGGAAAGTCAGAGTCAACGTAGTTCGGGAAACTACGGGGGGGATTGCTCGCCAAGACATCGCGTCTTGTGCCTACGTATTCTCGTCCGATATGAGAAATCAGAGCAAAACGTAGTTCAGGCTAACTATGGGTAAACGGGGTGTTCTCGATCACACGAGGGTGAGAGAAAAGGTAGACGATACTAGCGCACGCATTCTAGCAGTTATGTGTATTGCTGCTCGACCATTGGAGACTTAGGCGTTACCTATTTGCGGTAGAATGGACGTAGTATGTCATTGGTTTAAAGGTACGGGGAACCTAAAGGGAAGAGGGAAAAGTGCTCGCTAGGATTATCTCAATCCTATGCCTACGTACTCTTAACAGATATGAGAGATCAGAGCATCCGTAGTTCGGCTAACTACGGAAAACGGTCTCGATCGCACAGAGGCGAGAGGAAAAGGGGGTCTCGATTGCACGGGGGCAAGAGAGGGGATCTCAATCGCCAGGATGCGAGAGAAAGGAGTCTCGGTCGCACGGGGGCGATAGAAAAGAGGGAAGCAGGCCTAACACGCTTAAATGGGAAGGAACTCGGGACACACACGCTAGAACCTAAGGCGTAGGAGCGAATGCGTCGCATATTGCCCAAAGGGTATACACTAAACACTCTAGACGAATGAGAGGAGGCCCCCACTCTTCATTTTCCACATATCTATTGCTTAGAACACACAACGCTCGGTGGTTGATTAAAAGACTTGAATTAGAAAGATGTTACCGAACAGAGTGGTTCCATTGACCCTTGACATTGTGTGGAAGCTCCATTCCAATCTTCTCCTCTTTTGATCCTTGAGAATGCTTCGAATCGGGACCAATGTGACGCTAAACCTTCATAGCTCGACTTATAAGGGAAGTCAAACTTTAAAAGATCGCGTATTGATTTTCGTGCTATGGACAAGATAGAGAAACGATATTGAGGATTGTTCTCCAATTGAATCGTGTCGCACAGACCAAAAACAGTAGGATCTCGTCTTGCAGAACTTCATCGATCCAAAAAGTCTAAATAAAATCGAAAGATGAAGAGAAATGAGGAGAGAAAGAAGTGGTCTCGGATCCAACATTATTAATCAATAATTTACTGGTAATGAATTACGGAAATGTCGTCATCGACCAAAACAGATGAAATGTCGTAAAGTCGAAAATGAGAAAGAGGAGAGAAAGTCGGTCTCGGATCCTTTATTTCTCATCAATAATTTAACGAGGAATCGAAGGAAACTCTTCATCGACCTAAAAGACAAAAATAGGATAAAAAGCCTAATGACAAAAGAGAAATGAAATAACTCTAAAAAAGTTAATATAATAAAACTCTACAAAAACTTCTAGAAGAAAAATAATAAAATCCTAAAATAATATTCATAAAACTAATATAGAAAATAATATAAAGTTCTAAAAGAAAATAAAATACTAATATATTTACATATTCCAAAAATAAAAAATATAAAACTAGAATAATATATATATATATATATATATATATATATTCTGAAGAAAAAGTTAGAAAATCCAAAATTAAATAAAATTCACAAACAAACAGAGGGGAGTACAGCAGCAAAACAGGGGTGTAATGCAGGAACCACACAGCTGGGCTTGGCCCACCAATTTCCAAAAACCAACAGCAAAAAGGGGGTATGACAGGGAAACGGAGGGTGCGCTCCAGCAAAAAAGAAATTGGGCAAAAAAGAAAAGGCCCACTAACCCGTTCACACTGTTCCCCGAGTCACCTTTTTTCTCTCACTTGGTCAACCCCTAATTTCCTCTTCCTTCAATTCGTTCAACCTCCGCCGCCACCGTTTGCCAACTCCCAAAACCAAACCGTCAGTTTCACTTCTCATCACTTCAACCTTCTCTCAAATCCTTCTCTAACTTCCTGTTCATCACTCCATCTCTTCTCTCTCTGATCTCAAGCTTTCCTTTCTTCTTCCGCTCAGAAAATAAATCCATATAACAAGCCACATAACTCGAAAGAAATAACCGGTTAATCTCGTTGAGAGGAGGTTTGAATTTGACAACATTTTGCAGAAAATCAGAGTTTGGATGAAGGCGCTTGGAGTTGGAAGAATTACGGGTTGAGTTTCAGATCTGGCGATTTGAGTTTCAGATCTAGGTTTGGTGTTTGGATCTGATGATGTTAAAGTTAATGGTGATAAAGCTCGAAGATGATTATGGTTACGGTTGAGTTTGGATCTGGACTTAGATCTGAGGAGATGATGAAGATCTGGAAGATCTTCATGA